AGATGTAATCTAACTTTGCAGCGTAATCTACCGCCTTGTCGTAGGGACTTGTTTGCACTCATCTAGTCTACAAAATTGCATCAATTGATCATTTGTGTTGGCGTATTTAAGTGTGTTAGTTTTTAACAGACTAACCCCTGCTGTGTGCTATTATTAGACTAACCCCATATCATAATAAACAAACTAAATTGATTTTTTAAAACTTTAAATACAACAAAAATATCTCACAAAATATATTACTCAAATATTACTAATAAGCTATAAAACCAAAGAGTAAATTTAATGTAAAGTGTCATCCAATTTTAGTTTCCTATTTTTATTTTGAAAAGAACTAGAACCGTTTTATATTTGCTCTGATGTAACAAAATCATTGGGTTTTTTCATTAACGGCATTGACTATACTTAGTATGGTGAACATAATAACCTGGAAATGCACCTTCGATATCAGTTCCTCTTGTTTTGGTAGTTACTATAGACTGGTGAATGTGTGCTTTCTGTTGTTCCAGTTGAGCTTATGTGTATGTTACGCTTGGATTTTCATAAGGAGTCATATTAGGAATTTATGTTTATCAACATATCCAAGGTATTGCACATTACTTCAACAGAGAAGAAGATTTTCTTAAAAAAATAACATAAATTTCCTACCGTTCTATGCCAATTCTAAAAACATTCCTAGTTGTCCATGATCAGTGGATGGTTCTGGGTTTTAGCTCATGAGTAAACTGACTGTTGTAAGGTTGTGAGTGTCAAATGTGTTAAATGGAGCTCTAGAAAAGGCTTAAAATCTGTGAATGACGACTACACGATAATTGAGGTTACTCGCACACACTATTATTCAATGCAGTAATATTCTCGGCTGACGTACTCCACTGTGATGAACAGGCTTAAACTCTATCTCTAATTATGCCAGTTCCTCAACTTTCTTCACTATATTGCATATTGTTTTTTAGTAGGACATTAAAACAGTTAAATTGGACATACGCTGATCTCAAATGTTAGTACGGAGTTCGTATGGAATCGCCATTTGTATAAAACAATTAAACTGTTTCAAAATAGTGATATATTTAGACAATTTACATATTGTAAATTCGTTTCTATTACCCAAAGTTCCATGTAGGGACAAGCATGGAAAAATGTGAAGTTATTCACTGTCAGTGATGCCAGAGAATATCAGTAAAATTGGCCGATATATGCTGCTGACTAAAAACTAGGAGTGCTGATTGAAGTTGAAATTATTGAAACACTAAAACTCATCTCGCTGCACAACAATTAACACCAATCGCTGGTATTGTATTCTATGCAAAATCTCCTTTAAAGTGTTTGAAAGTCACTTAATATTTAATTTCCGTTTGAAAACACATTGCCGTCAGAACCAAACCTTTCTTCAGTGTATTAAGTTTTTGCAGAATTTTGCATCTTAAGATTTATAGACATTTTTGTATTAAAAGTTTCACATGGATTACGTTTAAAAATTAAAATTTGTATATACATTTATATACATTTTATACTAGGCTACATTTAAAATATCTGTTATGTAATTAAGTTATATTTTAGTAAATTTAACCTGTTACAAAACAAATTTTCTTTCAGCCCCGTCGTTATTAATCTTGTCCTAAAAGTTTAAAACATACTAACAACCATTTTACTCAGTGGTCAAATTAGCGATTATTATGATAATTATTGAAGTTGTACAATTCAATGTTGGTAGCTACAATTTTTGTATTTTAAAAGCTTAATGTGCTTAATATTTACTGTTCAGTATGTGCATTACGGATTAATTTTTGAAGCTGCAAATATTGGTTCAATATTTCAGCACTGTGGAGACAGTTTATAAAGTTATGATATTGGATTAGTTCGTGAATTGTCGTTGTTTAGAATTGTAACAAATAATATCTTATAATCAATGAATAATATGTTGAATAATCTAAACGAGACACATGCAGACGATACAGGGTGAAAATAAGTTTGCACACACCTACATTTTCCAAGGCTACAAACTCCTCCCATAAAAAACCCACTAGGTACACTACAGAATATCCTACGAGAGATTCAAAATATTGTAACATTGATCGTCTGTCGTGGACTTTAGAACAGTATTTAAAAATAATACTTAAATATGTCATATTTTGACGAGTACTTGTTCATAAATAGCCACAGGAATTCGTGCAATAAGGATAGATTATTGATTTATAACTTAGGTTATTCATTCAAGGCTTCAAGAACTTGATTGCAGTACATTAAATGTATTTCGTCCCCCTCAAATACACCTGCTACAACCCAGCTAACGTATTAATTACTGGTCTTCATTAAATTTGAATCATTGCCTTACACACGGTGTTATGCGGTTACCAGTGTACCGTGCTGCAGACGATCATAACTTTGTGATAAGCTACTAATAAATAAAACAATTACTGTGCTGTATTTCTCAGCTACTTGAACACTTTATTTATTTCTTCAATATATTATTGTAGATTGTCAAAATAATTGGAAGTATAACATTATGTTCTTCTAGAAAAGGGGAGTGATAAAATACCTGTTGTGCAATTGTATGGGCTAATTACTATATGCGAACTCGGTAGGAGGATTTAAGTTTACTACAGTTTATTACTTTATATGACTTACTAGTTTAAATACCAAGTGTGTTTGTACTTATCATTATGTATTACATAAGGACAGACATAAAGTAAATCTCTTAAATAGTTGAAGTACTGATATAAATTAATTCCCCCTCCCCCGCAGCAAACCTGCATACTAAATAAACTTCCACTCAAGCATGTCAGTAATATTCCCAATTTAAATAACATGAGGTGGGGGGTGGGTGGTTATAAAGTGTGTTTAATGAAACGTTATAGCTTAGTATAAAATAAATAAATTTGCCAAATTTGTTTAAAACATATCCACAAACTAACTACAACAGTTTAGGCTAATAACTCTGCTTAAAAACCATAGGAAATTTAAATTTAACTAAAAAAATTGTTCTTTATAACCAATACAAAACACCTTGAAATAAAAAATTGGTTATAAGCTAAAATGGTCTACTAAATGGTTTAGAGAAAAAATTATATTTTTTTTGTTTTGAGGGCCAACAATTAAAGAACTAAATTTTCACCTCACAAAACCCCGGTTCCATAGTAGAAACCTGCTGGCTCCCGAACTCGTTAGAATAAATGTAGGCTTGCACGTTTGTACCAAATTTAATCAGAATCGGACCATTCATATTTGAGTCATTGTGCTAAAGGACACACACATATCTAACTCTTATCATGAGACCTATGGTAATAGCTTATTTCCTGTACTATGGCAATTTCACTTAAACTAATTGTTATTTTTCTTTACTCAACGTGCTGCATCAGGTCGATTAAAGTTCTTTATGAGTTTTATGCAAACAATAGAACAAGTAAAACACATGAAACTCAAAGGTCAAAGTAAATAAACTGCTGCATCATCAGCGGTAATGGTGGTATCGGTTCCGAGAGTTTTGATCGGTAAAGTGTAAATACTAAATACATTTCAGTTGTGTATCCGGGCTTGGTTGATGTTGATGACAATCAAACATTCTGTGATGAGACAATCACTATGATGTCAAACAGCAAGTGATATTACAATCACAATGTTTTACAATATTGCACTGATATCTCTCCGTAAACTCCATTGTAATTTGTAAAGGTAAAAATTATACAACTGACTGTCTCTCTGTAGGTAGTATTTACGGTACGTTTATATGGTCTCTCTTTTGTATGCCAGTGGTGATAATACAAAAAACATTTCATTCAATATTTTTTATTTAAATTAGAGTTACATTACGTTATTCATATTTAACCAATTAAGTAAGTTGTCTGAGTACTGAACCTAATGTCTCAGTTGGCTGGAGTAAGTTCGATACAAACAACAAAAGACCAATTACATGAAGCAAAAACTCTTGCAATGCCACACTGTGTGACTTACTGTCTGCTAGTAGATAAAACCTTCTGTATCCAATAGTCAATGATAAAACAAAACCCTTTCAAATAAGCAATAAGCAAACTTAATAGTGATGCATATGTTGATATAAAAAACATGTTGTGTAAAAGCATAAATATACAATTATTAAATGGTAAATATTAATCAAAGGTTTTTAGCGAATTTCCCATATAGGGAATAAGCTATTACCGTAGTACTCATGGTAAGACCTGGACGCGGGACCGATTTTTTTTTTCGTTTTGAGGTCCCTAGAGGCCAAAAACACCATCCGTTAAAATTCATATATATATATATATATTTATATGTTTATATATTTATATATTTATATATTTATATATATATAATATATATATATATATATATGTGTGTCCGTTAGCACGATAACTCGAGTAAAAATGATCCGATTTTGATGAAATTTGGTACAGTAAACCTACGTTTATTCGAACGAGTTCGCGATCCATCGGACCATGGGAACGGGGGTTTACGGGGCGTTTTATGGGGTAAAAATAGGTTTTTCCCATTTTTGACCCAAAAAACATAAAATTTAGCAATTTCTTTCCAAACCATTTTGTAGAGCTTAAAAAAACAAATAATTTAGTATATTGAAGCGTTATTATACGCCTAATGGTTACAGAGAAAATTCCAAAAAATTGTAAATTTAAAATTCCTATGTTATTCTTATGGAGGATAAGTAAACTGTTGTAGTTTGCTTGTTTATGAACCTATTTTGATCAAATTTGGAAAATGTTTTTATTTCTTACTAACTATTAACATAAAAAAAAAAAAAAACAAAAAACAGTTTTACCCTGCCCTGATGCAGCAAACCTAAGTACTTGTTAAACTAATTCTATTTAAATAGGTAATTAATGTTATATTTTTTAGTAGACATTTCAGTGTAAATCCAATCAGTCAAATGGAAATTCGCTTAGTCTGCAGGTTTGCTGCGGCGGGGGTATTTTTTCTTAATTCTGTGATATATTTAAACATTTTGATAGCATTACAGAGTAACAATAATTAGAATATATATTTCTTTGTTTCAGAATTTGGGTGACTACTTCATTCATCCTTAAGTAGTGTCTGGGGTAAGTTGTCGTACTTTATGAGAAGTTATTGCTGAATAATTGTGCAATAATTGTCGTATAGTTGTTGTTTGGCAATAATAACATTGCTAAGAATATGACTCAAATTCTGATACAACAAAATGCCAGTAAATTATAGGCATAGTAATTATAAAAAAAGAAACTACAACTGACTCAACTGTACACATGTTGATGGTTACAAACAACATGTTCATCATGTCTATGAATTGCTGACAACTGACATGACATTGTTCAAAGTGACCATGTGAAGAGGGTGCAGCCTGTGTCAAAACGTCTATCATGTCAATAAACTTGACTTTTAGTTCGTGTTAAGGTAATGTAATCATAGGTTGATATGCACATCAAATTTAAGGTATTTCTAAGTAAAATACAATTCTACAAAGTTAGGAATTCTCTAATTTTCCTCCAAGTTCTCCAAAAAACATTCTGCATTATTGTACGCTTTGCATTTGATATTTTATTTGGGAGCCGTTTAAACATTTAAAGTTGCGAATTCTAGAAATCTTTAAACGGCTGCCATTTTGTCTTCAGGTCACCACCATTGTCGGAATTCAGGTTTGTAGGTATTTTACTTAGATATACCTTAAATTTGATGTGCATATCAACCTATGATTACATTACCCTTAACGATTGCCTTAACTGACACCTAGCAGACTCCTGAAGAGGTAGCGTATCACTGAATAATAAAAAAAAATATTTTTATGTCCAATGACTTGGTTACAAGTTTTGTAGCTCTTTTGCATTATTTTTTGTTATATTTTGCTGTCTCAAAACTTTTAAAACGTTAAAAATATTTATAAAAAATTCCATTTTTAACCTTTTGTAACTCTGTAACTGTTCACTTTAACAAGCAAGTTAGCGTTCACTTTGGATGTTGAGATTAGGCAATATTTTAGCACCGTACTAAATTTTTTTACAAACTTGGATCTTAGAAAATCATCTGGGTGTCATGGAGTACTTACTATGCACATGAACTATTGCATACTGATGTTTGTAGGGCAAGCTGGGACAGCGAGCATTGGCTCCTAAATACATCAGGCTGTTCACTCAGGTACTGTCTATATGCTAATATTGCTAACTCTACACTTGTATTGTAGCTAGTAACCTTACAGGTTGGAAAGGTTTTATGATACTTAAAAATTTAAATGGATTTACCCTCTCATATGGCTTCTTCATGTTATATTGGTTAACAAGTTATTCCTTAACCTTTCAATAAATAATTATTGAATATTAACTGAATATTTTAGTTACCCCTTTTAACATTTGATGCTAACTCGTACACAATCTTTTTATAATTTTCTATTGTTCCTTTTTGGAGCTGAATCATTGGAATAACCAATCAATTCAGTTCTGGTTGTTGCTCGGTTAAAAGTTGAACAAGTATTTTTATGCAACTTTTTAATGCAAATTGTTTTACGTGTAGTTGAAAACTGTACAATTGGACATAAAACTACTGTTTTGACATAAATCGTTTTTTTCATCACCAATTAAGAAGGAAGAAAAAAGGTTTTGTTTGGACTGTAAGTGAAAGTGACTCTAGAATGTGTTTTGAATTGTCTGCAGGTGAAGAATGAGGTAGCAAGGATGGGCCGCGGAGGGCGCAAGTTGGCCCTTCTGTTAGCGGCTCTGCTGGTGTTTATACTGCTGACCTACAAGCTACAGCTGTGTAGCCCAGCAGACAGGGGGCCTGTCATGGTGCCCAAACAGGTAACATACATTCAAAACCATTTAGCTAAAACACATACATCATTAAACTAAAACGCATATTTATATTATGTAATTATAACATTTTTAACTTGAGCTTAATTTAAATTTGCTGTTATTGATTTATATTGTGTTTACCACTGTACAGTATACACATAATTTACAATAATAATTTATTGTGTTAGTTTTATGCGTTTCCAAATCCAAAAACCACACATTTATTTTTAGGTTAAATAAAAGAAAAAAAATATTACATTTACAAAAGTATAGAAGTATGGTTGTGAAAAAATCTGTAATATTTATGGATATACAGTATTTTAGAAAATATTATTGAGAGAATATCAGGGAAGCTGTATAAGGCTTATATAATGAAACATTGGACCATTCCCAGAGGTACACCTTGTCTTATTCATCTCATTTGGCCTTATAACAGTTGCGGAAATGGTGTCATTTGTCTGAAATGTGACCCCATTAATTTAATATGCTAACCATTTGTTCCTATTAATTTAATCCTCCCTCTGGCTAGCATCGTTTTCTATCCTCATTACGCATTATTCCTGTTTATTGTTGTTAGGTGTTTTATCTGACTTTTCAGGTTTAACCAATATAATAACAATCTTTTCATAATTTAAAACCAGTTGCAATAGACCTTCAGTAACCTACTGTGTTGTGTATGCAGAAGAAGGTGTTATTCTTTTTATTACACCAGGTGCATAGTAACAATAAATACAGTACACTTCCCCTTCTGACACTTTGTGGACCCAGAGGTTGTTAAGTTTGGGGGTTGGAGCTATCTAGAACATTGCAATTTTTAATGGGTTTTAATATATGAGTACCGGTACACAACAGACTAGTTTTTAAATATATTTTATTACTACATCATAATTTTTACATATTAAACATGTGGTAGGCAATGATAACTAGCAATGAAATTCATCATAGGCTTTTCTAACCTAACTTGGCCTTGTTTAACCTAACCTGTTTATGTGTTCAGACGTACGTGGTAGGCAGTGACAACCAGGTGTACAGCTATGACAGGTACATGCCACTGATATTCATTGGAGGAGTACCGAGGTCGGGGACGACGCTGATGAGAGCAATGCTGGACGCTCACCCGGATGTAAGGTGTGGTCAAGAGACCCGAGTCATACCCAGGATACTGCAGATGCGCCAGCATTGGATGAAAAGCAAAAAGGAGACCCTGCGGTTGGAGGAGGCGGGTGTCGATAAAGAGGTGGGTGGAGTATTTAACAAATTGTTTTAAGTAAAAAAAAATCAAAAACCCATTTAACTTTGTTGTGTAGGCATTTAATTTTCATTTTTTATGACCGTATATGTTGCACCCAAAATTTGACATTACCTGTAATAATTTAATCAGGCTACTACTTAGTAATCAATATCGAGACAGTTAAACAATACTTTCCTGAGACTTGAATTGGAAAAAATATTTCTTTGAGATTTAATGCTAGCCTATACAGCGATTAGGCCAATTTATTCTTGTCATATACTGTATGAATATGTATAACCAAACAAATCTTATCCATGTGAGTCCCAAACAAACTAAAATTGATTAAGAATATGACACAAGCTTACTTTTGGGACAAGTTGTCAATTCGATTTTCATTTACATTATTATTTATTTGGGCCCACATAATGCTTCTATAGAAAGTGTAAATCATGGTTTATTTTTCTCCTTTCTGTTATAATTTACCTGAAGCTATTATTGTAAAATATATTATTCATTCTTTATTGTATATGTTTGTTTATTATATTTTAATAATAATTAAAATGTACAGTAAATCAATTTAGTATTTTATTTCATTTTTCAATGTCTAGGTACTGAACTCTGCCATCGCGTCATTCTGCCTGGAAGTGATTGCTAGGCATGGGGAGCCAGCTCCCAGACTCTGCAACAAGGATCCTCTCACCCTCAAATCAGCTGACTACCTCTCTGAACTCTTTCCTCAAGCCAAGTTCATCTTCATGGTGAGAGATGGCAGAGCCACTGTACACTCCATCATATCTAGACAGGTAAATCAATCTCTTAAAAATTAAACATTTTAATTCCTTTGGGAAGTATTGATTTTAGAGTGATTGTATTTATTTCACTCATTTTATGCAATTTATTCTTTTCATATAAAGTCTTAAACAAAAAGCTCTCTTTGACGTGAGAAACAACCTAAAAGCACTTTTAGTTGTACAATTTCATCATTGCAACAAGCAATTTTGTGCTTTTAGTGCACTTTCCACAGCTTTTATACTATCAGCTACCTACTTGTATTTTACTATATCATATTTTGTGACTTAAAAACCATTCCAGTGCCAATAAAATAGTTTCTTATAATACATTCCTAATAAAATGTCTCAACCTTTCCTTAAAAAAATTATTATTTTTCTTTCTCAAAAACTAAAAAAAAATATGAAGCCTATTTGTAACCTACATCCAAATTTTAATCCTAGTTGATATTGATAATGGTTTAGGTTTCAAGAAATTAGATTTGATAGATTCTGTCTGTTTATTGACAAAACCGGTACAATTGATTACTTTATAATTAATTGACAGACAATATGTCATCATATCCATCAATCAATCAATCAATCAATTATTGAGATGGAGACACCACCTAGGTGCATACAGGCTCACTCATGTCATTTATGACCTGGTCTTTGCCGATTTATAGAGGATTTTGTGACTATAAGTATATCTCAGAGAACTATGTGTCCATGACAGTTGAGGGTAATCAGACTGGATGGAGGCTAGTGAGCCTTTTTTCAAACTTTCTTAATTATACTGATTTAGTAAAATCACCTAACCGCAACATTCTATGAAGAATAGAATAGCCAAGTAGTATTTATTACCCTATCTTGTGTTGATATAGGTGATACTTTATTTTTAACATTTCTATTTGACAGGTGACCATCACAGGGTTTGACCTGACGAGTTACAGACAATGTCTCCAAAGGTGGAACAATGCCATCGCTACTATGTACGACCAGTGTCAGCTAGTTGGGTCAGAACGCTGCATGATGGTGTACTATGAACAGCTTGTACTGCACCCGGCACACTGGATGCGGGAGATACTCAACTTCCTCGATGTTCCTTGGAATGAAAGTGTTTTGCACCATGAAGACCATATCAACAAACCAGGCGGCGTACTGCTGTCCAAGTAAGTGAGGGGTTGGTTGTTCGTTGCTTCTTGGAGGTCATTTTAGAAGCTATCCACCTTTTAAATGAGTATTTTTCATGACATAGGGTCCTATAGTACAATGTTCTGTATAAAAAATAGGTTCCTATAGAAAAGTGTAGTCTCAACTTAATCTTAGACATTCATTCTAACTTATACTGTTACTACAGTAAGTGGAACAAGTAAACAATATTACCATTAATATTATGCTATGCTGATTTTCTTTTGGGATCTTAATTACCTACATGAAGTAAATTACGGCTCAGCTTGAGATGAAGATTTCACGTACAGGATTGAGAACCAATAAAGAATTATATTCCAAAAAATTAAAACTTTTAGTATTATTTATTATATGAATAGGTCATTCAACAAAATAACTTTTCTTTTAACCACAATTTTTTTTGTCGCTATTGAATCTACATATGCCACTAAATCAACTGTTTTTTCGCCTAGCACAAAAATGTTTGATCAAAGGTAGGTTTTAACTAAGTAAGGATGTTTGTTGCAGGGTTGAGAGGTCCTCAGACCAAGTTATCAAGCCTGTAAACGTAGAGGCACTGACCAAGTGGGTCGGCCAGATGCCCCAGGACGTAGTACAGGACATGGCCGAGCTGGCGCCTATGTTGGCCAAGTTAGGGTATGACCCTCACGCCAACCCGCCCAACTACGGCTCTCCCGACGCCTTCGTAGCAGACAACACACGGAGGATACGAGACCAAAGCAGCTTGTGGGAGAAGAAGGCACATAACCTGCAGTTGCCCCTAGCGCCCGTGGTGGAGGAACTGGACACTACTGCGACCACCACTGCGTGACAGTGAACCAAACACATATGGACAGTTTCTTTCTATTGACTGGATTTTTATTTATTTTTGTTTTTACACAGGTGCGATTATTGGTGGTTACAAATTTTTTATGTTTGTTGATTTTGTATTATTATATTTTTACAACCTGGAGCCGTACTTGTTAATTGTTAATTCTATTTTTAGATATTTTCCTTTTAAATTCAATTTGTAAGTATATTTTTATTAACAAGAAAACGGAACCAAAAAGATTTTGGGCATTTTAAATGTTTTTTTTTTTTTTAATTAGTAGGAAAACTTCTGCTTTCTATGTTTTTATAATAATTATATTTTTGTAAAGTAGTATATTTATTGTTTTGCTGGCCTATATCTGTCTGGTACAAAGAAGAAATGTTGGCACAAGTTATAATCATGTAAATCTATTGTGGATCATTCCAAGCTTAGCTGAAGTGACTGTTAATATTTGTGATTGAATTTTCCAAATGATATATATACATAAATTAATTTGTAAATAGGTAAGGTAATAAATTATTTTTGTATATAATTGGAGTTTGTTTAATGTGTTGATCCTAACTCTCCTTACATTAAAGATGGTATTTATATCTCCTTAAACAAGTTCTTATTCTAAAAGATATTTGTTTATAATAATTTATAAAAACATATTTGAGTCATTGAGTTTTTATACTGAAGTAAATTCTTGAATATCAGAATTTTCTACTTTATCATGCTATATAATGTAGTGTAATAATTTCCTCGTCACATATAGAGTTACTGCATTAGAATCTACTGATGCGAATATGGGGGATTGTTGAATTTTGCTGTTGAGCTGCAAAATTGTAGATGTGGTTAAACAAAGGTCGAATGCATTAAAACAATCCACAAATGCTTGAAATAAGTTCAATGATTACTATAGTAATCATTGAACATTCTATCTCTATAATTGTATAAATGATATTTTCTGAATGTTGAATGTTCCTGATAATAAAACTCAGTGTCACATACATAATACCAAACAGTCATGTTGAGTGTTTAAAAACATCTGTTATTTATATTTGCTTTTTATTTTTATGCATGATTTTTTTATTGCTTATTCTCTGTGAAACACTTTTCTTTATTTGTGATTGGAGCCTTTTTCAACACCATCTTGTCAGAAAGTGATGAAACGTCTTACCATTCAAGGTTACATACTATTGGCACAATCTAAAGGTAAAAAAATTTATGTATACATCTAATAAGCTAAAAAAACAAAACAATAAAAAGTACAACAATATTAGAGATAAGCTTTAGTCAAGGGGTAAGCTTAAATTAGGAGTTGATCATTAAACATTTCATATTAGATGCTTAAAAATCGTCTGGTTGGACTTATGATATAAATAATATTTGCCTATAGAGCATTTTGTATTATTTCAATGATTTTTAAAATATTGAAAGAGCTATTTGAGTATCATTCTCTTCATCACATTATGTATGGATTAGTTTTCTGTTGTGTTTTGGTTTTAGTTCAATTGACAAAGATGACAAAAGTTTGATTTAAATAAATATTCATTGTCAAAAAAGTTTAGACATAATAGTGTAGGTACTAAACAGGTGGTATTGTCAGTAAAATTTTTCTAGAAAACCAAAGACTTAAATAAATAACTATTATTGAAACTAGTTCAATAAAACAATAAGGCTACTTTAAAAAGATGTACAGTTAATACGCTATTACATAATTTACAGTGTTATCAATTTGTATCGAAAAAATACGTTTACCTTATAATATGATCTGAGCGAATTAGTAAGGCTACTTTCAAAAGTTTAGAATGATTTTCCGATTTATGATCTGGATAAAATTTACTAAAAACTCTCTTTCATGGATTTTATACTAATTTTCTGTGGTATTTTGGGTACTGAAAATTATTATGAATCTTGTAACAGAGCTCAATTCCATATTGAACTATAAAATAAAAAATGAGCATCATAGATTAGTTAGTCAAGTTTTAAAGCCAGTAATGTTTATCACACAGTACATTTTATAACAGGCAAAATTTAATCTGTCTAATACAGTTTAAAATTTTTTTACTACAAGTACAAAAAACGCATATCATTATGTAGACCAAGAAATATAATCACAAATTTTCCAGAAAAAACTATATTACATATCTTAGGTTGTGGTTTATTGGTAGCATTTCATTTTGATTTATTTTCTTCCCATTTATTTACCTCAAACTATTCATATTGATTCAGTGAATTTGATAATTAGTCCCTCATGGGATTTAGCTTTTACAACAGCAGTAGTATCCACAGCAAATAGTAGTCTGTGTGGAATATTTTTTGTAATATCATTTATGTAAATTAAAAATAACTGTGACCATAAATTAGAACCTTAAGAAACCCCAATTTTTACTCCAGCCAATTTGATTTAGATTAAATGTTGCCTCTGTTAATTATAATTCACTGATATTGATCGGATGAGTATGAGCACAACCAAGGAAGACATTTATTCGGTTGAAAAGTTGTAGTGAACTAATTTTTGGTACCTACACCACCAAAATCCTTGGATAAGCTCAAAACACTCATATTGTGCTCCAAGACCCATTCAAAGCCATGACACTTCATTAGCAAAAGTAGTTAAAGCTCCCATGGTTCTCAACTCCATTCTAGAACCAAATACAAGAAATGAAATATACAAATATATATTTTACAAAGAATATTGTTAAATAAAAAAAAGATTGTAAGCTCCTGTTTTCAAATACTTTAGAAAATGATGGCAGAAGGGAAACAGGTAAATAGTTTGCAGGATCGAGCTTTTTTCATATTTTGAAAAGTAGTTTAGGTTTGGTATATTTAAGAGAAATATTGTTTCAGAATGATGAATAATAATTATTAAATGTGGTTCAACTTATACATTTTGATATATTTTCATGAGATTAACAGAGATCTCATCCCTCCCTGGTGATATTTTATCTTGCAAGGATTTAAATGCATTTGTGACATCACCACAGAATCACTCCACAGAATCAAATTTAGTTATTCCATTTCAATTGCTAAGTTTCTAACCCTCACACTCTGAAGCACACAATCCAATATTCCTACCTCTATTAGGGCATATTTTTTTAAAAATATTATGCTATTTATCTGTTAATAATAAAATTATAATTTCTCTGTTACCTAACTGTAATGGTTAATGTAATTTCGTGAAAAATTATCTTGATTAGTTAAAGGAGTAAAATATAATTCTGGTAATATTTTTACAAACTACATTCTTTAAAAAGATTTGATGTACAAGCTGGTAATCCTTGTAAAAGTTTAGAGATGCTGAGATAATGAGAGATTAGTTTGACTAAGCCAGATTTTGGATTAGCTTTGTCCAGTGTTAATTTGTAAATGCATCCGTGATTCATGAAAGGATCAGCATCTGACGCATTTCACACTTCAGCCTTATTTATTGTTATTTTTTTATTTTTTGTGGAAACTAGTTTGGAATTTAATCCTAAATAGAATCCTACTAGAATTTATCTTTGGAAATAATACAAAATTTGTCTAACAAAATTAACAATTTTAAACCCTACAACATCTATTCATTTAGTAATGTTAAAGTGAATAATCAATCTTTTAAAAGTTACATAACTTCTTTAAATAATATGGAAATCAACTTAAGTCTCTTTCAAACATTAACATAAGACATTGACTTAAGACTTAAATTCTCAGATAATATGCCCTTAAGTGGTACTGAAAAAGAAAACGTTAACCATAACATTAGCACATGTTGTAAAAACTACTTAATTAAAATAATAGCTTAAAAGTTGAACAAAAATGCAGTTAAATGAAAATACTGTATTTTACTATAGCTAGTTTGAAAACAGTACGAGAAAAATCTACAATAGTTACCAAGTTAATCTATAACTATTCTGTTCTATCCATCCATACAATGCAAACTTTTAATTGTGAACTTCTAAATTTTTTTTTTTTTTTTTTTTTTTTTTTTTTTTTTTTTTTTGTCCTAGGACGCTAGGCACGAGCCTGGGATTGTTTTTCACATTACTTCAGGCTAGACCTAGGGGTTGCGGCATTATCACTTAGATAAAATCCATTGGTGACTTGGCGGGGATCGAACCCGGGACCTCACGGACCGAAGTCCCGCGCTCTAGCCACTACGCCAGCTCGCTCCCCCAATTGTGAACTTCTACAATAAGTACAATAGAAATCATAATTACTTGGCCATTTACTGGATTGTTATTCAGGACTGTTCCACATCTTCTCCCTGAGGCAAAGCTACAGAACCAAGAGGTAGGTCCGGAGGTGTGTTGTGTGTGTTTGGTTTCAGCTAGCTATTTATAAAATAAACACCTCATTGCTCTAGTGAAATACCTAGAAGTTGTACAATGATCTAGACACTGGACATCTAAACCTAAACAAAAAAGTATTAGGTTTTGATAAATTTTAGACATGAATAGTGATGTAAAAGTAGTGTTCTTTAATAAAAGTAACATTTCAAACAATTTTATTTCATAAAATAAATTTTTCCACTGACACTTCCACATTTTCCACATCAGTCCACACTTTGTACCAGAGATATAGTCAGTATATTCCACGGTATTGCTTGCAGCTGTTTGTCTTGTTATATTTAACAACTGACACTGCTCACTGTGTGTGAGTAACGATAAAAAACCCACACAATCATAATTCAAAACAATGAAAACGCATTTGTAATAAATTGTTTCGGAATAATTTCAGAATAAACGTTAGAAGAAAATTTTAGAAATAGTAACAAGCAAATAAAAATTGACACACCCAGGGGTTTTCTTTGCCTCCAGTATTTCTAAATCCATAATTTGAATGTATTTTGTTGTAGACAAACACAACACCATATGTTTAGTACTTAATCCATATAATTTGAAACTGTCTCAAAAAATTTTCAAAAACTAATTACATGAAAGAAAATATGAATTACATTATATGCAGGGTTAAAATATGTACAGATCATTACTGTTTGGCTGTATTAGGGTTCATTAGACCATTAAGCCAATCAAAGATAATAAACTCTCACAGATTTAGCGTTATAAGCTTATCGTATTTTATACAAATTAAACATATTTGATTAAAAATTACAAAAGAAAAATGTACTGATTATTATTACTATGGGAAAGAACAAAAATTAATGGCAAGGGTAAGAAAAAATGGATGGAAAACAAATTGGAATGACTTAACTGCCCAGCTCGCCTTAAATTTACCAAAAGCTGAAATGAATGTAGCCAAAACATTTCAAAACATAATATTTGAAAAAGAATTATTAATGCCTTATCTAATTAAATTGAATAAAAAGCATAACTTGTTATCCAAAATTGTATGATTAGCTTACCATTGATATTTAAATTTATTTATTTATTAAGTCAACAAATAAATACTAAGATGAACAAGAAGTCGGAAGTGGATAAATTAGCATGTATATATGAAATATATTTTAAAGGGAGTATCAATTTACTTAGTGTAATCAGATAAAGAATATTAATTACAAACAGAAAAATAAGTGTTGTACGTTAATAGTATATCTTGTCCCCAGGT